CCACTTTTTCCATGTATCTAAGTTTGGGTCTTCCCTTTGACCTTCTTCCTACTGGTGTTTGCCTCATTATATGTTTTGGTGTTTTAGTCTGCAACATCTGTTCAACATGGCTCATCCAGCGCAGACGTCCGATCTTCATGAATGTTATTACCTCAGGTTCTTTATACGCTGTTGATAGTTCAAAAATTATATCTTTTGCGCCATATGTCATTTTCTTTCACCTTCTTAAGTATCTAAGAATTTTTCGTTCAAACGCACCTAATAGGTTCTCATCGCTTTTCGACAGTGTCCATGTCTCTGATCCGTATACAAGGACCGCTTTTATTAGGGTTTTGTATATTTTGCATTTGATTTTTCTTGTGATCTTGTTAGATCTTAGATGTATAATTAGTCCACTATATGTTTTATTAGCGATATGTATTCTTCTCTTAACCTCTTCACTGACATTGTTATCTGCGGTAACTAGTGAACCTAGATATGTAAAATTTTTTAAGCTTTCGATTTTGTAGTCTCCTATTGTCAGATTCTGTAGGTTTCTTTGGACTATCGATTTGGTGGCCTTTATGTATTTGGTTTTTATTTCGTTAGTGTTTAGGCTACAGTTTTGTATTGCTCTTTTTATTGTATTAAATGCTTCTATCATCTTTCTTTCGTTTCTAGCTACTATCTCAACATTATCTACAAACGCCAATATTTGTAATTTTGTTATTTTTTTTCTTCTGGTGTCGACTTTTGTATCTTTAAGTATTTTCTCTAACATGATGTTGAATAGAATAAAGGATAGGGCATCTCCCTGTCGTAGGTCCCTTTCACATGGATTGTATCTGTTGCATAAAACACCTATAAATGACTGTTCTAATGAGACCTATTAGGTCGAAATACGTATCAACAGATAAATTAATTACTATTTAACTGGGAATAAGCCACAATTAAAGATAAAAATACGTTTATTGACGTTTAAATTTCCACTTCGGAGATCGTTCTCAAAATACAAACAGTAAATTAAACAAATTTTGTTTTTTGTTACATAGTGAAAACTTCTTCTAATAATTTAATTTTATCTGACTCATTTATATTGAGAATTCAGGCATACATTATGCATTTTAAAGTAGACGACTTTTAAATGATATTGCCAATATTGTTGAGTTGCGCTCCTGGGACGACTTTACTTATAAGATAGTTCATTCGATTACATGAAATCAACTTTAACTTGAGAATATCCGTCAGAAAAAATCATAGCATGTAATTCGTCTTTATAAAGACAAACACATGACATGATGACAGTAAAATTCGCCTGTTAGTGATTCCACAGTAAATTATGAGGGAAAAACCAGGAAAACAACCTCATAATACTATCCCGACATAGTAAGTATTTATTCGTGCATTTAGTTTACCTTCAATAAACACCAAAATTCTGATTTTATATGTTTCGTTATTTAAAAAACATAAATGATGTATCCTCTATATGTTACTGACGAGGAATTTGCGACACAATTGTCCTCATTTAGCATAATTAGAGCCGCTTCTTTAATTTTTTTTTTACCATCCGTTTCTTTTAGGACTACATTTGAATTATTCCATTGAACCCTATGTTCATTATCCCATGGGTGTTTACATATTTGAGATCTATCAAATTCTCTATTTTTAATATAAGATTGATGTTCACTTATTCTAACATTTAATGGCCTCTATGTTTCACCTAAATAAAACTGTTCACATTCACAAGGTATTTTATAAATGCAATTCTTTGTCCTTTCTTGTTCATTGTTAGGTTTGGTTTTGGACAAAATAGATCTCAACGTGTTTGTTGTTTTGAATGTTGTTGAAATGTTGAATTTATTTCCTATCCTTTTAAGTTTTTCTGATAATCCTTTTATGTATGGTATTGTTATTTTCCTCGTATCATTCCTGTCATCTTCAAACAACTCTGATATATACAGCTGCCATTCTTTTCTTATTTCTTGATCATTTATAATAATTTTGGTATTAGTGTCAACAAGTACAGAGGAATCTCGTTTTTTAAATATATTACTCAATACATTCAGTTTTTTGTGCACATTAAATAAGTCGTGGTTAGATATTACATTCTCCATTTCGTCGCAACTTTCTCTCATCCATTTTTTTTGGCTAATCTGTTCTCCTTTTTTATTCTTCTCTGCAGGTGTCTAGATTCTGTTATATCAGATTTTATCAGTCGACGTTGTTCTATTAAATTTTAAGATGTCGTCTAACATCCAGTTATTTTTCTTGATTAAGTTTTTTCTATAATCATTGTTTGTGGATATTTCGTTAACTTGGTTTTTAAATTCACTCCATAGTTCTTCTGGATCTTCTAGTTGGTCTCCGATGTTTTTTATTCTATTTTTAAATTCTTTTTTAATGTTATGTTTTATGTTTATATCGTAAAAGTTAAGTACATTGGTTTTTGGTTTTTGTCGCTCAATTTGTTTTACACACATCGGCTAATCTGTTTCAAGCTACTGTAAATACAGTTACTCTTACCAATACGATCGCCAGCATTCGATAACCAGATAGGGTACTAAAAGGAGACAAAGAACGTACATTGTCGTACTCATGAGTCTCACTGCTACTAAAAAATAAATTTATTAAATGACTTAACTTGCCGTTTCCATATAAAACTAGTATTTAATTTCTTATTACAAAAAATCTTATAATTATTTACAATATTTCTTTTATGTTTTTGGTTTATAAAAAATTTAGCCGACTGTGAAAACCCGTTGGTAGATTTACCCGCGTCAAAGATAGTAACCCTTCGGCTTGTCCTTCAAAAAGAGTAATCGATGGTTTGTTCGTTTCCTTTTTTGGGTAGTTTGTACTCGACGACCCTTCGGTTTTTTATTTATATTTCTGACCGTCCGAGAATCAGATTATGTCCCCGGTTTCGTCGTTTATAAATTTCTAAACAGTTTCTTTTTATGCATTCACTTTTCTAGTTTATTCTTGGTGCAAAAAGTGCTTGATAAATTTATTTTGTTAAATTCAATTGAAAAAAAAAATGAAAACAAAATTATTTTTAATATAATCTGACTGAATTGTTTTATGATACTAATTAGCAAACAGAAAAACGTAACTGACGCACTCAACAAATTCTAAATTGCACAAAACTCATAATCCTGAAGTTTAATTTACTTTAATAACGTTAAAACGAATGTCAAAGAAATAGCTTAAAGAAAAGACAAGTTAGAGGCTTCATTGCGAATTCCTAAAGTGAATAGACGGTGCATGCCAGCTATATTATAGTCAGTCAAGTTTTTTTTCTTCAAAAGGAAAATAATAATTCTTTCTTTTTCTTTACGTGCAATATTAGAGTTATCCTACATTGATGGTCACCATTGCGAGTGCTTCGTGATCTTCTGCTACATGAAATAATTGTCCTGCATTTGATATCTTACTCCATTCGCGTATGTTTCTTAACCAAAAATCCTGTTTTCTTCGTACCCTCTGCAGACTTTTATTTTATATGATACTTAAGTGTTCAGACTTTTGCTCCATACAACTGTAACGATGAGTCCAAGTCATGACCGTTAAACCAGCGTGCGCGCAAACCAATCCATGAAGTAGGAGTGTATCGACAGTAGAAATGGCAAAACTAATTACCAAGCTCCGCTATATAAACCGCAACATTTCCTCATAGAGGCAGATTCGACAGGTGTTGACTGAAGGTTCTCTTCTTCCCTACCCCGGCTTGTGGACGTGTTGAGTTCACAAGTTGTTCCGTTCCATACCGCCGTCACCCGAAGAGCGTGTTGAGCTCTTCATTACCCGTACTCCGAAGCAGTCGTGTTGAGACTGTCGAGGAGTGTCCTATTAACCCGAATCACTTAAGGGACGTGTTGAGTTCCTTTCCTTTCTTTGTACCTATCGTCCGCTGTTATTAAATCGATACAACGTTCACGTAAAATTTCAAAAACACACTCGCTTGCCGATAAGACTAATTTCATACGACAAGGTCAAACTTAATTTGAATAAATAGGCCAGGTACTGAGAAGACTAAACTAAATTGTAAATATGTACATAAGATTTTTGTCAATTTAATTTAAGGAAGACAATAAAGTTTTATTTTTATTTTGAACTCTGTCTTTGACTGTCCAAAAGCTACCCGGATAGTGACTCCTACGAGAGGGTATCACACAACATTACAGAAAGCATTAACCATTATTTGTCTTAGTTCTAAACTGAGTTTCATTAATTGCTAATAATTCTTTATCAGTAGGTATTTAATCATGATACCACAGTAAATCGGATAAAATAAGCGATCTCATTTTAAAATTATTTCTTTTATGTATTGCTATAGTTCAAAATTAACTTAGAATAAAATATTTTTTTATGAAAAAGACCCAGGGACTATAAATTTTCATTGCCCTTGTAACAATTATTTTGCCCACTGCATAAAGCATTACTATAAGGACTTGAAAATTCAGGACAGAAATTACGGGGCTAGAAATAAGGTAAGCAAAATAAATCAAAATATTGCGAACGGCTGAGTTTGTACATAAGTCTCCTGTACAAACACAACACAATTTAAAATAAGGACGCTTCTTAGAAAAATCTTCCTGCTGGATAAAAGAAAGGCTCTTCTCAAAAATACAAAAAGAGGTTAACACTTTGACGGCCACGCCAAACTAGTGGAGGGTTCCGTTGGGCCACGACTTTTTTTTTAACTATCTCTAAATTACTTAATTAACATAGTAAACAACATTTTCCATTAAAAATTATTAGATCGCATGTGTGTTTGGTGTGTGTGCCAAAAACATACACGCAGCCTAGAGAATGGAAAATGTCACGTGTATACTTTTGTATACACATTTAGGAGGGGACTTACCACGTCTAACCTTGACGAAAACGTTGATGACCAGTAGTTCGGGAACACGAGAGAGATCGTCAGTTGTAAAGAAACATGCGCAACGTGCTTTTACATTAATTACTGTGCATAATGTCTTACGAGAAAGAACATCGGAGATTGCTTATGGGATGACAATATGAGCGAGGATACCGAGGATCCATATTACAACGACTCAGATAATGACCCTGTGTACCAACAAGAGAGTTCGAGTACTGGCAGTAGTGTATTGACTTTCAACGAACCCAGAACAAAAAGACGTAGGATTGAGAAGCTGAAACTTCAAGGTAAGTAATTTTTTCTTTTGCATATATATTTTATAAAATTCGACATTTTATTTACCGATTGTTTAAAATCATCACTTAGGGAATTTTATTATTTACCAAAGTTAGAATATCAAAACGAAACTCAAGATTGTTTCTTAATAGGTAATAAAAATTTAGTATTAAATATTAAAATTACTACTGCTATCGGTTTACAGCGTTTTCCGACGCCTTCCGACTCGGCCATTCTTCTCTATTCAACCATAGGCCTGGAGGGATTTCTCTGTCCTCAAGTTCTTTTTCAGTTCCCTTTCTCCAGCTTGTTCTCGGTCTTCCTCTTTTCCTTCTCCCTTGTGGTGTCCACGTCAAAATCTGTTCTGGAATTCTGTCATCTGGCATTCTCTGTACATGGCCGTACCATATTAACTGTTTTGTTTTTATGTCATCAACTATTGTATGCTTGACTCCCATCATTTCTCGCATTCTCACATTTGGTATCCGATATCTTCTCAATTTGCCTGCTGCTCTTCTCCAGAAGTCCAGTTCTATTGCTAGTAACAGTTTCTCTGTTTTTGTTTCATTGGTCAAACTTCACTGCCATATGTGATTACACTTTTAAGTATGGTGTTGTATATGAGTTGTTTGTTCACTTTAGATATTGTTTGGTCCTACAGAATGCCGTTTATCATGGATATGGCTTTTCTACCCTGTATGTTTCTGTCTTTTATAGCAGCATCGAGTGTTCCATCTTGAGTTATCTTCATACCCAAGTACTTGTATTTATCACAGTTTCTAATTTCTACCCCATCGTCTAATATAATGGACTGTTTTGTCCCTCCAATACACATGGCTTCAGTTTTCTTAATGTTGACTTCAAGAACCCATTTATTATATTGTTTTATTAGCTTCCGAGTCATGTAACTCAAGTCGTCATGATCCTGGGCAATCAGTATTTGGTCATCAGCGAAACATAAGGTGTACAGTTAAGTCTCGTCAATAAAAGGGATTCCCATGCCATTACATTTTTTTTCCACAGCTTGACTGCTTGTTCCAGATAAATTTTGAAAAGGGTAGCAAAATACAGCAACCCTGCTTTAGTCCTTTTGTGACCTTAAATTCTTCAGATATCCTTAATCCAGTTTTAATTTTTGCAGTCGTTCCATTATACAGACTTTGGACTGCTTTGTTAAGACCATGCTAACTGTAGGGTTGACCATAGTTTACTTAGGGGTACACTGTCATATGTTTTTTGTAAGTCTATGTACACCAGGTGAACTTCTTTATTGAAGGCTGTTTTTTCTCAATAACTTGCGTAATAGAGTACAGGTGGTATACGGTGGATCGTCCAGCTCTAAAACCAGCTTGCTCCTCTGCTTCGTAATCTCTATAGCGTTTTTCTATTTTGTTCTTAGTAAGTTTCCCATACGTCCTACTTATTGTGCTGTTTACCGCAATTCCTCTGTAATTTTCACACTGATCCTTGCTTCCCTTTTTGTGGATAGTTGACATGATAGATAATTTCCATTCTTTTGGTTATTCAGCCCCATTCAAGCAGTCTTGAAAGAGTTTTTTTAACTGTTCCTGGAGTTTGTCTGTACCGGCTTTCACTAATTCTGCAGGGATGTCACCGGGACCAGGGGATTTTCCATTTTTCAGGGATTTAGTTATTTCTTCCATCTCTGATTTACTGATTTGTAATGGTGATGAATTTATACATATACCTATCATGTTGTCTTTCATGTTAGCACATTCTGGTCTTTGTTCTGTTAGTAATTTTTTGAAATATTCTTTTCATTTTTCTGTTGGTATTGGTGATATACGGTTTTTTTTTTCATTATTATTTCTCATACTTTAATCAATCTCCAACTCTCTGTGCTACTTCTACCTCCTATGTAGGTATTGATCTTTTGGCAGTTCTGTTCCCATGATTCGTTCTTATTTTAAGTTATCTTTTTTCTTACTTTGACTTGTGCTTCTTCGAAACCAACTGCCATTGACAGCTGGTTTACGGAAAGTAACATAATTCTCTTTAAAAATCATTCGCCCAACTCGGTATAAACAAAATTACGGTTAAATTCCTATTGATTTAACGCGCAAAAATATCTCAAAGCGGCTTCGATCAAGAGACTACCAAGAAAATACGCATCTGTGATATATAAACATACTTTAAAATGTGTTTAATATTAACTACAATGATTCAAAAGGATTGAAAATATTTTTTTAGTGTTTTAACATAGACGAGGGGATTTCAATAATAAGAAGTGTTCGAAGAAAAGTGAACTCTTATGGTAATTTTAGTTATGAGATGAATTTATCAATATTTATAATATAATATTTATTTATTAATAAACAATATAAAGTTAGCCAATATTTATAGTTTATTCGTCTTCCGCGAATCTACTCGAAACTTCGAGATGAACCCATTTTTGGGTCACTCACAAATGACACGGTCCAAACCCGGAAGACGAATAAACTATAATTCTGACTCTGGCCGTGAAAGCCTACGATTTCATTTAGCCAATACTGTTTAGAAGCTTATAGGTAATTAGACCCAGACGTTTTACTAACATGCTCTGCAAATTTGAGGCTTTAATAAACAAAACGTTGGGTGTCATCAGAGATAATAGTTGTTTCAGATAAAAAATTCAAAATAGCGATTATTCGAGAAACTTATAATGTTTTATTTCGAAATATGATTTTGTGCAAGTAGATTAAAAAAAAATTAATCTGATTGTCTCCTAGAAAGTTGGGAAAAACCAAGTTGTATACAATGTAGTTGATTTAAACAAAATAATGTACGGATTTTTTGGAAAGTTGTATAATAGGGATAAATGTTGTCTGATTGGCTATGGGTTAACGATGGAAGGAGAATTGATAGTCGATATAAAATTAAACGAGAATAGTGAAAAAGACAGCAAATATTTGATTTCACGCAAACAGCGCCTTTGTATCTGTTGATACGTATTTCGACCTAATAGGTCTCATCAGAACAGTTATTCAAAGGTGTTCTCAACGTGAAAGATCAATATTTCCTGTCTTTTAAGAAGCAACAATAACATGGCTTCGAATACGGACGCACTAGCGACATCTAATTTAACAATCGTAAAATAGTTTCGAAACACAATTCAGATTTCTGCTTTTATCTGTGCTTTCTAAAAATTGCAAAGCAAAACAGACGTTGATAAAGGTGTTAAAAGAGACGTGGGGAATCTAAAATTTGCATTCCACGACACATCTTTTCAACTAAGCAGAAATCCTTAGCGAATTGGTTTCTTGTACTCGTACAGAGTAAATCCGAAAAAAGTGAAAAAGACAGCAAATATTTGATTTCACGCAAACAGCGCCTTTGTATCTGTTGATACGTATTTCGACCTAATAGGTCTCATCAGAACAGTTATTCAAAGGTGTTCTCAACGTGAAAGATCAATATTTCCTGTCTTTTAAGAAGCAACAATAACATGGCATCCTTTTACACTTACACTTACATTTTAGGTGACTTCAACGCCAAACACACAGCATGGGGATGTGCAACAGACACCGCTCCAGGAACAACACTTCTAAGATACTGTGAAGATAGAGAGATGATGTTATTCGCTCCAGATGAACCAACAAGAATAAATCCAATCAGAGGACAAAACAATTCAACACTGGACCTGTTCATAACAAAAGATGTAATAATGGAAGACGTCAGGACCTACTTCGAATGCAGTTCGGATCACAAACCAGTAATAGGAAGAATGACATCAAGAGTCGACTTGCCGAGAATAGAACCAGTAGAAAGATGGAGATGGAAAGATGCTAACTGGCCTAACTACAGAAGACAGCTCAACCAAATGGAGATGAAGAGAGAATTCCAATCAATAGAAGAAGTAGAGGATAAAATAGATGACATCACAAGAAGAATACAGCGTGCAATGGAAGACAACATCCCAAAATCCATGACAAACAACAGAGGTTTAGTGATCCCAACTGAACTCCAAGACCTCATCAAAGACAGAAACAAGGCCAGAAAAGCATTCCAAAGAACCAGAAGACAGGAATTCAAGGATTATGGAGACGCCCTATCCGAAGAAATAAGAGTAAGACTGAGAAGTCTTACTGAAAACCAATGGCACAACAACATCAGAAGAGCAGAAGAAAGCCACGGAAATGTTTGGAAAATGTTGAAGACAAGAAGAAGAGGAAAACAAAAGATGCCACAAATCATGGACAACGAGGGAACCCACTACGAAACCCAAGCAAAAGTAGATGCAATATCAAGAAAGATGGCTGCCACCCACAGACAAAACCAAGAGATGTCAGATGCTAGAACAAAAAGGCAAGTCGACGAAGAATACAACAGGATAAAAAGAAGAAACGAATTCCATATAGAAGAAGAAGACTACACCAGTCCAAGTGAAGTAGCAAAAATCATCAGGAAGCTAAAGGGAAGTAGAGCACCAGGAAAAGAAGGCATCCACAACATCACCCTCAAGGAACTACCAAAGAAGGTTATATTCCAGCTGTACTACATCTACAAATATTGCCTAGAAAAAGGACATTTTCCAAACAACTGGAAGCACGCCAAAATCATTCCACTTCTGAAGCCAAGAAAAGACGGTAGAAGACCAGAAAGCTACAGACCCATATCTCTCCTGGAAACGATGGGAAAAATCCTAGAAAAAATCATCTACAAGAGACTGATGAAACACACAGAAAGAAGAGGCGTCATACAAGAAGACCAATTTGGATTCAGAAAAGGAAGAAACTGTGAACTCCAATTAGCAAGAATAATCAGCGATGCGAAGATAAAATTCAACAGAAAGCAGAAAACTGGATTAGCCATACTGGACATAGAAAAAGCATACGACACGGTTTGGAAGAAGGCATTAATCTACAAGATGGACAAGGCTAGACTTCCGCATTATTTAATTAATATATGTGATACTTATTTGACTAATAGAACTTTTCAGGTGTCAGCTGACCAAAAGATGTCTACGATACAACAGATTCAGGAAGGGATGCCTCAGGGCAGCATTTTATCT